CTGTTTCTTTTTCTTTGAGTAATTTTGTCCACTTGCACCAAGGATTCCACCTCACGTCCTAATCTTTTTCATTTACCTCTCCCTCCTTTTGCTGCATTTCCCTGGCTTGTTGATTGTTTCCCAACCCCAAATCCAAGGGCTAAAGGTATCTCCACTAACTGGTCACTCACCAAAGATGGCATAACATCAGTGTTTGTTGACCGTCCCTGCCAAAGCCCTTTCTTTGATAACAATATTAGGGGGCTGAGCCTTTTCAACTGCAAGTTATCCAATACCAGTATTTACTTAGGTTTTAATTACTTGAATTTAATGTAATTATTGCACTTTAAGGGCTCAAGTATTTTAGAAATATGGCTTTAAAGGTGATAATATTAGATATTTTTTACATAATAGTAAAATCAATGCATCATAACACTAAAAATGTGAAGATGTTTAATTCTAACTACATAATACATGAGACTTAGGTGGAGTCTACATTATGTCTCACTCATCATGTGGTTTTAATTAAACATCTTAACATTTTTTAATACTAGTATGTTCTCATTTTTCGCATCTTATTTTTTAAAGTATTTTAATAGTCTTATACTCCATTTAGTATGGTTATTGTGATTTTAAGTTTTGATTTTGTCTTTAAAAATTTACAAACCATTAAATAAAAATAAGTAGTTTTATAAATTAATTAAGTTTTGAGTTTTGAGTTTTGAGTATTTATTTTAAAATTGTATATCTAATAAGTTGGCAATTTTAATTTTTAATTTTTATTATTTGAATTTTAAAAACCAAAGGTAAAAACTCAAAACTACAACTATATTAAACAAAATATTAATTTTTTTTATCATTTAAAGATTAAGTAGTGATGTAGAAATAACTTTTTTGTACAATCTTTTTATACAGTTTTCACATCTCATTAAATGAATAAATACACTTAATATCACATGTTTCAAATAAATAAAAAAATTAATTATTTAAATGATACATAAGGTTACACCAAAAAGAGATACAAAAAGGTTATTCTTGTAAAGATTTTAAACACATCACCAAGTGTGGGGTTAGGAGACAGTAACCGTTAATCACATTAGCAAAATCCATCCTATAACACCTTCTATAGAGGCCCATCCTCTATAGATGGGTTGCTAATCTAAAATTATCTTACCTTTTATAGAAAAATTGGTAAGTTAAACTCATCCATTATAAAAGAAGAAAACGTTGAACTCCTTCTATAATAAAATCATGAAAGTTGGACTTCTTATTGGGTTGCTTTTGCCCAAAAACCATAAGGTATAAAACCTTCCTATCAAAAATGAATAATTAAGTTATAAAATCCCAGGTACTGCTGTGCTAATATCCCTCATCTAAAACTAGATTTGTTTTCCATATAAGTCCTCTATGAACCAAATTATTGACTTATTGTTTTATACTCCATCATTTATTTTTAGTAATCATAATTTAAATTTTGTCTAATTTATTTCAACTTAAATGTTAAAAAGTTAATTTCTTTCGACTTAAAAAGTATAAAGGGAGATTTATTCCCTTTTTTGAACGGTAAGTTTATTTAAACCAAAAAAATCCTACGGATTTTTTCTTAAAAAAATATCTATGGCTTTTATACTGCAAAAGGGAATGATATACGCCTAGATTCTTTTTTATATTATTTTTACACCTGTAAAAATATCTTGGTCTCAAAGAAAAAGTTAATTATAAATGAAATATAAAGTTATATGATCGAAAAATTGTACAATAAAAATTTTCTCTCAAGCATTTTTTATTATTACTATAACATTTCAGGGACCTTGTTCAAGGAGAGTCAATCTTCAATGGTCACTTCACTTCTGAAGCTCCTCTCCATCTTCTTCTTCCTCATCTCCCTCTTCACCCCACATGCACTTTCTTATGATTCAAGCGAATGTGCTGAGCCGACCAAAGCGGGTTGCACCGATAAATCCGGAGCATTGACCCTTAAGCTCATAGCCTTATTCGCCACTCTAGCCTTTAGCGTGATCGGCGTGAGTGCGCCTCTCTTCGCCTCCTCGATCCCTGCTGTTCAACCTGGCCGGAGCTTATTCCTGATTGTCAAGGCCTTTGCTAGCGGAATCATACTCGGTACCGCGTTCATGCACGTCCTGCCGGACTCATTCTACGACTTGTCCTCGGGTTGTCTCAATGAAAATCCGTGGCATAATTTCCCTTTTACTGGTTTTGTGGCAATGATGTCGGCTTTAGTGACTTTAATGTTGGATTCATTGACAACGAGCATATACACGCAGAAGGCCAGCGCTGGAGTCATCCCAGGAGATGAAGCCACCGGAGGAGATCAAGGGAAGGCGGAAGAAGGTGGTGTTGGACATTTTCATGGACACCATCATCATGTTCCATCAAATCCAGGAAAGGGTGCATCGCAGCTTGTGCGTAACCGCGTTATTGCCATGGTCAGAAAAAATTTCTCTACTGATAGATGTATATATATGTGCATAATAATTATCGATTCATTAGAGTTAAAACAATTTTGATTGATTTTTAACATAAGATTTTTGTTTGAATTGTTGATTAGTCTCTCTTTCGGGATCTATCATGCTATGATAAATTAATTCTCCTTGATTATTTTAGATTCTGTTTATTATAGTTTTGGTTATAAATTTTGAGATTTTATTTATATATATATAGTAATTATTACTATATTTATAAATAAAAATTTATTATAAAATTTTGAAAATATTACTTTAATTTAAATATAATATTTTTTTTAACAAGTTACAACTTTTTTAGGATGGGAGATTCAAATTTAATCCAAAAGTTAAAGAGTGCACCATTTGACATGATTTACAATCATTTAGTTTAGAAGGTCAAGTGCAAATATAGTATTAATTACTAAATACATAAAAAATAAAAATAAAAAATCCGAAATTAAAATTTTACTGAACAAAGCCTTAGTGTTTTAAAATATGATTGCAGAAAATGACCTTTTTTGATAATTAATTAAAATGATAGGAATGATATTAATAAATCTTTTTAATTAAAAAATACATATTAGTTCTAATTTTTATTAAAAAATTATTTTTTAATATATAATTTTAAAATATAATTATTTGTATTTAATATTTTATTTATTTATATGAATTATACATATCAATTTTTAAATTAATCCAACATCTATAATTATTTAGTTTAAAATTTTATATTTTTTAATATATATTTAATTTTTCAAAAAA